ACAGTATTATTCAGAGCAATAAATAGCGTTTCTTTTTTTTTCCACACTATCATTTTCCCCATATCTGAAAACATATTGGATTCTCATATTAATATTCTAAACACAAACACTTCACATAATTAGTCAACCTCTAACCCTAAGCAGTATTTCACCTCTTTTCAAACTTTCTCAACAAAAGAAGGAAAAGTGGAATTTTCCATGTAATATAGTGCCATCTGTGTGCAGGCTGATAAGGTAAAAAGGAAATATTTGAATGTCAGAAGATCAGAGTTACAAACCATACCTTCCATGACATACACCAGTGACCCCACATCTCCTTCTTTGATGATGCAACTGTCTTTGCCATACTCCACCGGGTACATACAATCCACAATCTCCTGGATCTGTGACAGCTCCAAGTTCTTCATAAAGTCATTGTCAAGGATGGCTTCCTTTATAAGATCCTTGGACCTATGCAAGAGAGGGGAGATTTACTGGAACATCTGACAAGCTCTTTCATAATTTGTGAGGTTTAACAGAGCCGTACAGTGCTCTGGCACACTACAAATGCATTTTCTTGTTAGGAATTCATTAATTTTCTGAAAAACCTGAGAATAAAGTAGTTCTGTGACAGCAGAAAAGGCACTGAGAAATTTTTCTTTAGGTAATATATCATTTAATGAACAAGTGACCAACAAACAAACAAAATCATACAAGTTCATTTTGTTTTATATTTTTTAACCACAAAGAATGTAGACAAACCAATAGACAAACATTTTAAAGTTTGTAATTTAGTTAAAGAATAAATATGAACAAAATACAAAAAAATTCTAGTACAAACACTACTCTTACTATGTTTATGTATTATAAAAGAACATCAGGCATGTATTCTGCTATACTCAATTACAGGAAAAGAAAAAAAACCCACAATTTGTTTACTTATTTCCCCTGTGCCTCTTCCAGTAGACTTTACACTCTACATACACAGGGGTCATTTTTAATTTGTTCTGTACTGTATGCCTAGTGTCTACTATGATGCCAGTCATGATATGGGTGCTTAAAAAATAGTTTGGATAAAAATAGGTAAGAGTTGGATTCCTAATTAGCAGTTTGAAACAACTGGGAGAAATGGGACAGTTCTTTATGTACATCTCATGCTTCTTTAGAGACTGTTTCTTTCCTCAAGCAGCTTAAATTGAGGTAACTCCATCAAACAAGATGTTTGAAATGCAACATGATTTAGGTATGGGACTAAATACAGGTAGTCGGTAGAAAAGATACTAAATTCTGTAGTTGGGATTCAGTGGTTAACAGGAAAGTTCCCAAGATTGTGGTAATTTTATTTTCTGGGATAAAAAGTTCCAAATGACTTTCTAAGGATACAAAAATCAAAGTAGAAGAGATACTAAGAAATATTTTACCAGGAGGAGAACAATCAGAGTACCCTTAAAGAAGTCAGAAACAGGATAAGACAAAAGCAGAGATCTTAACAACATAAAGAGGAAACAATATATTTGGAATTTTATATTAAAGGTGTTAATTAAAAAGAAATTAAACACAAGCTGGCCACATTTACTTAGCAAGTGGCTTTCAGGGAAATAACGATACCTGCCTAGCTCTCTTTGCATCTAGACCTCAGTCTAACTGGCCTAGTCTTCACACACTATGCTTTGTAATGGTTTGGTTTTAAGTAACAAAAAGATGTACATAAAAAATAAAAACAATTGAAAGTTTATTACTATGAGGAATATTTGTAGAATGAACCATTATACTGTGATTACAATTATGTTTATGAAGAGTGTTAATGGCACATAGGAAATTCTTATACTATTTTTAAGTGAAAAAGCAGGATACAGAATTGATTTTAGGGTAAGAAAATGTGTGTAATGAAATACAAAGATAGGCTTTGAAATTACATATATTTGGGTCCCAATCCCAGCCTTGTCACCTACAAAACTTTGAGTGGGTTGTCTTATTTTCTAAATTTCCATTTTATCACATATAAAATGATATTTAAAGAAATGCCAACCTAACAGGTTTATATGTGAAGACTGGTGAATATAATGTTACTTTCAGTAAATGGAGGGAGATAAAGGTGCTAGTAGTATTAACTGTGGTATTATTAAAATCTTCAACACTCCTGACCTCAAGAATACCAGTAAATCCTTCATATTGACTCCCAAGATCTATTGATCTAGGACTATTTTTTCAAGTACCTGGACTTATCCAATCTTCAGGAAATTAATTTTAGTTGAATTGTATTATATTCTCTCTTTCCTAAAAATTATTTTGTGTCAGAGAGTGGGGCTATCCAATAGGTTCATAGTTTCTAACATCATGATGACTGGATGTCATCAACCCAGAACACAAACTTGTTTAAGATACAGATGGTCTGTTATCCGTTGGAAAATATTAATAGTGCTCCATTAAAGATCTAGGTCCTAGAAATGCGGCAAGATTAAAAATAAAGCCCTCTTCCAAGAAAATAATTAGCTCCATCCAAAGATGATTGAAGAAAGTCACTTTCTACCCTCTCATAAACAGGACTATTATCCTGTTTTATGAAGACATCATAAAAGATGAAACAATGAGCTCTAACACAATCCCTTAGAATTATCCAAATTTTCCAAGTGTTTAACACAGAGTTTGGGGGGAGGGCAGGGAAGAGGATGGGATTTCAGGATGTTCTTGTTTCACAAATTCCATATTTTGGAGGACATTTAATTTCAGGTCTCTGAAAAAACAAACTGGAGGCTTTCATATACACCCTTGTGTCACTTTAAAACAAACTCATCAATATAGGACCTATGTCTTATTTATCCCTTCATATATGTGTTGTCAAATAACATTTTTGTTTTTGAAATGTCACTAATAATGTCTCTGTTCTCATAGCCAGAGAGAGTTCTTGTACCTCTGTGTAGTGCAACTCAAAGGTGTTCTTATCAGTGAGTAATACTCAAAGTCCTGCTTCATCATGTAATTTTCCTTTAAATCCTTTTCCATTGAGGGCTAGGAACCTTAGGTCAACTCTCATTAGTCTCTACTTGCTCCAACATTATGGACTACAATTAGTCAGGGCTCCCATCAAACTCTCCTTTGAATCTTTTTCTATACCCGAAGAAATGGTCTAAGACACTTACTATTCAATGCCACGTATAAGATCAGTTGACCTATATTACTGGTATGGGAGCTGGAGAAAGGCTGATATCACAAGTACCAAAGGTGGCTATCTGCCCTAACCCAGAGTATACATTTTAACAATATTTTGCAAGAATTCAGCAGCCTTATCTGGGAGGTGTAAGAAACAAACACAAAGATCTTAATTTTTTCAATCCTTCCTGTCTGTCTCTGTGTACAAATAATCTATTTTTAAAAACCAATCATAAGAAACAACAGTGATCTCGAACCTCTTATATTTTCCTGGATTAAACTTAAGCCCATTATCCAAAGTGAGGCACCACAAGATCGGAAGAATGGGCTCCACTTATACTCGCCATCAAATTGGTACTAACTGATCAACACTAGGGTGATCTCATGGCAGTAATACTCTCCAGGGATTAGGACAATGGGGGCATAAACTCACAACTAAAGGGCACGGGGAGCATTGTAGGAGGGAAGGCCATGCCTTTAACCCTCGCTTGGGTGAGGAAAAGATATAAAATGTAACCATAAAGTTTGTACCCTCATAATACCCTGAAATAATAAATAAATAAAAACCTTTCTTTTCTATGCCCCAAATTTGTGTTTGTTTAATCCAAACATCCATATAGGTAACTCAGTTATTTTGAGCTAGCTCTATTGCTTTGTCATCGTTGAATTGTCAGCCTCTGAAATATTATTGATATATAAAGATATGTTGGTAAACTGCCTTTCTGGTGGGGTAAGGAGAAGTGGAGGAAGCCCTGGTTGCAGCATTTGCCAGTTTTCATGGTGTAAATACTTTCACCATAGCCAATTTCAAGCTTTCATGTGAAGTCAACCTACTTGCAAAATTCCTTAAAATTTAACAAGCAGATTTTACATGAGCCAGTACAAACCGACTCTAGTACATTTCCAGATACAGATTATTTTTCTAACACTCTAAGAATTTAGTGTAACTTAATTTATAAATTCTAAGCCAACATGATAATCCTTTCTTTCCTTTAAAATTTCATGAGGTGGCATAATATCCTCAGATAATTTAATGCAAGGATTAGCAATAGTTCTTCCAAACTTTCAACTAAAAAAAAAATGAATCAAAGGGCGGGATGCAGTAGCTCACGCCTATAATCCCAGTGCTTTGGGAGGCTGAGGCGAGAAGATCACTTGAGCCCAGGAGTTCAAGGCTGCAGCGAGCTCTGATGGTGCCACTGTACCCCAGCCTGGGTGACAGAGCAAGAACCTATTGCTGAAAAGAAAAAGAAATTGGAAAGTCCCCTTCTCCACTTACTTATTGCAGAAAATGTTCCTGAATAGACACAGAAAATATGTGACAAAAATTGTCTTTCTACACAAGCTTAGGTAAAAATGGGCAATTCTAGAGTGAGCATAGGAAAATATATACATACTTTTCAAACAAGGGAGCCAGCATTACTCACTGCTAATAAACAGACCCTCATTAATTTTCTTAACCTAATAAAAGGATATTCTATATTGCGGTTACCATATAGTAGGCTAACAACATCTAAGTGGCAGTAATGTTTTTCCAAGGAGTGGAGAAGGCTAATTTTTATTGAGTGGTCAGGAAGGCCTCTCTGAACTAAGGACTACATGACAATAAGATCCAACCACTGTCTTCTGCATTGCCAAGATGATGAGGGAAAGCATTCTAAGTAGAAGAAAAAACAAGGACAAAGCTCCAGAGGTTAAAATCACCTTGATCTGTTCAAGAATCAGAAAGGCCTATATGGCGGATGCGCACAGTGAGCAAGAAAGAATGGGACGGGACAGGTCTCACAGGGCCTTGGAGGCTGTGATAAAGGTTTTATTTTATTCTAAAGGCCATAGGAATCCAGTGAAGGATTTACAGATGATTTACAGATAATATATCGGCCATAAAGAATAAACTACATAAATTTACTTTAAAATGTTACCGAGTTCTTTGAGATTTTCTGTAATGCATTTCGTCAACTAAGGGATACTGAAAGCAAAATTTATTATCAGGTTTAAAAGGAATCCTTATAATTGAAACAATTAGAAACCACTGTCATCAACCTTACATTTATTTGGACTTTGATTCACTTATTCCCAGGTAACTCTTACATATTAGGAGAGAATGAGGCCTCATCTTCAATTTTAAGAACTGTCTCTAGAGGCCTAAAGTCTGTCCACTCATACACTCTCTACTGATCTCTAGATCAGTTTCCCCCCAATTGTGTAGCAGGCAATAGTAAATATGCCAAAAACAGCCTTGCCCGGAAATGTGAGCATTAACATCTGATCCCTTTGTTTGAAAAAGACTCCCAGGCATTTAAAAAAAAAAAAAATAGTCA